TTCAAAAGGGCGTTCCCCCCCCCCCCCCCCCCCCCACGATGTAGCCCTCCTTTTTATCTCGTTTTCTCCTATACAACTGAGTCTCAAAGGCAATTTCAATGGCCTAGCATGTGCACAGGTAAAATCCAGTCTGGAACAGCAGTACAAGGCTCTTTTCATCGCTGTTCGCCTTTTTCTTTTTGTGGCAGTAGATCTGAGTGTACTGGCAATTTGAGAGATGGTTCAGATACATTCGGGTAAGGATGTCTGATCTCTTGCAGAACCTATTACCTTGATTTTGTCTGACGCTCATGTTACAGATATTGTTCCTCATCATCTCCACCGGACTCAGTCGGGATAGGCCAATGTTACCGTTCTAACTCTCCAGATCAGAAATCGCTACAGAAAAGTTCGTTTGCAGACCGACAAAGATGACAAGTTTCAAAATGCTATCACTTGTTTACTATGGCCTTTTATGAACAGATTTTACAGAGTTGTCTCGTTTGCTGGACTCTTCGCAATTGCCAGATCCATTGGTTGACTTTATATTGGAGTATTCCCGTCGATATACGGAACAGAAAACGTCAAAGGAGATTTTTTCAAGTCCAAAACGCCGTCCACCTTCTGTGGATTCTTCTGTGGATTCTTGTCTTGAGTCCCCATTGTCAGCGCGTTCAGCTTCACATGCCAGTCCGGAAATTCCCACTGGTAGCAGCAGGTGTTTTTTCAACCCAACATGGTGCACTCCCTTTTGAAGAATCTCTTTCTTCAGTGGTTCAGCGACGCCTCCGTTCAGTCAGGTACATCCCGGTCCGCGCAAAGGATCTGATCGCACAGCAAAGCACTGTCTTCGTGCGCTCATACCGGATGATGAAATGGACGATGCGTGGGCGTGGACTTTGAAATGTATTCAGGCACGTAATTTTTTGCTGTTCAATGCTACTTGTAAAGAATTTACGTACTTTTTTCTGGCCCGGCTTCATCTCTTCTGCCTTTGCCATTCTAAGTCCATTAAGCTGTATTCATTTTACACCATTACATGTGGAGCCATGTAATACCTTGGCATAATCACTCGTGCCGGCATTTTACCGCATGACTAGAGATTTCCCAACTACGTCTGAGCCGTTCTACTTTTTTCTCATAGAACACAGGAGTTTGACTGGAAATTCTCCACTCACAACACGTAGGACTTTGCGAAGCTTTGTATTGTTGATAAAACTACGGTAGTAATTGTCTGAAAAATTATTCGAGCATCACCGCACCATCAGGTATGGCACTTGTTCAACGTAAGCAATATACAACGATCTCTAGCAGGAAGACATGTTTAAAGGCACTGTTCACGGAAAAATGGTTTCGGATATTTGCACATGGTCTGAATTCGACGCCCCCTCTGATACCATTTGTGCAGGAATGAGGTCGGAAAACGGTCTGGATAGGGCATAATAAGGGCAGGAACAGTGGGGGACGGGAGGCCTCCGCCACTCGCTAGGCTGACTACGAGTTCTAATTGTCCTACACCACATTCGCATTGGAGCGATGTGTCTGCTTGGGTGTATTGTCTGCTATTGCAGACATTGCGTCGCCTTCGTGCACTCGCCCGAACACTCCTTTAACCGCCGTTCTTCCAATGTGAAACTCGTCCAGCCCCCCTTTCCAGCTCTTTTTTGACCCTTTCTATTTCTTTTTGTTCATCGTTTTTTGCGCTTTTTTCGTTGTTCGCTTTATTCTAGAGTAGTTCTATGAATTCCCGTCAAAAAAGGGTACCCTAAATTTATCGTAAATGGTGCCTTTAAAGACTCCCCCACTTTCCAATGGCGATATCCTGCTTCCACGCATGCTCCAAAAGTGTTTTTGTTTGGCCTTACAAATTCGCAGGCAAATATGTGGTATGACTGTGTTTCACTGAACTTATTTCATCATTCGCAACCGTCAGACGAACATTGTTATTATGTACGACCGATGTGATGCTGTGCCCAATGTTTCAGCATAGGAACTCTTGCAACGCACGGATGGCCGTTGAAAGTGATGTTATTATTGTTCGGGTTATTATTGTTGTTATTCGGGTTGCGTAATAGTCTTGTGTGGGTGGTTGAGTGGGTTTGATGACTCTGGGTGGTAAAAGAGCAAAAAATTGAATGTAAGTGCGGGGTTACCGCAACGAAAAGAGACTAATAGTGATAAAAGGTCTTTATTACAATGCACTCCTTACGTTTTGCCCTTGAAGTTCTTCGAGGAGCAAGTGAGGACTGCGCGTATATCTACATGACAGTTCGGCAGTTGTTCTCTTGATGAATGAATGTATTCGCATCGTAGCTGCTGTAAGGGTTTGCGGGCTTCTGTCAGCTGAGATGAAGGAGAGATCATAGTAAAATGAAAAGAATTTGTATCACAGTGAGGTAAATATCACGAGTTTTGGGTATTGAATGCGTGAAGGGCTTCTCCTCGGCATTCTTTTCACATCTGTCAATGTTCACGTGATAGCCAGTACTGGTCTAGTAGATCAAGCTGCCATGTCACACTCTTCAGGAGAACCCGCGCAACGTACGTGTCGTTGAAGTAATTGGCAGATCAACATCAATCCTTTCAACGAATTAAATGGTATTGTTCTTTCTTTGGCGTGAAGGACCTCCACGCCAAAGAAAAGATGAAAATGTGCAGGGGAAGTGTAGTGCAAAATGCAACATCTACCAAGATACGAATGTCGAAGAAATGTGGACTGTAGAACGCGACTCAATCTTAAATACCTGTGTATCTCTCTGTAGTAAGGGGAGCTCACAAACTGAAACTATTGCGCATAGTTTCACAATAAGACGAAGCGTACATGGGCAAAAAACTATGGCGCCCAGCAAACAGTATTATTTTGCTATGCGGCATACGATCAGCATTTACCCGAACCTTTCCAGCAAATTCCCAACAATTCTCCGGCACGCTCCTATAAAAAGGCTGAATACGCGGGACAAAGTCAATAGCGAGTGAACGCTCACCCAAACTCAATTTGGTTTGAAACCACTCCACCACAAAGCATTATGATAACACAACAGCACATTGACAACATGTTTTGTGCAAAACCACTACGAGAGGACCCTGGCAAATGGGAAGCGGAGTTGGTCCCTCCTCTGAGATGAAAGCGAACCTTTGTGGATTCGAATTCAAAAGAAGGCATTACGATGTTTCTTCTTTGACTAGAAGACCATTTCACGGCTGAGTCTTTGTTTTTGTTGTAGTTAGAAGGCCTCTTGTACATGTATAATAAGGGTCTTCCGTGGTTGTGGAATTGTTTCCAATCGAGGTTGAAGAAATCCATTCTGTCGAAGCTTTTAATAAGTGCCTACTCAGAGTGAGGCTATGAACACGTTTTCTCTGTTGAAAGCACTTAATTTGGCTGAGTTTTCTATGGAATTATTCTCTGACTCATTGACATCTTTCGAGAATGTTGTTTCGTAAGTTTGTGAATTACAGCTTGCTCCTGATACGCTGACTTATCAGGACGACGACTACGACACTCTTCTGCATATTGTTATTTCTCATCATGATCTTGCAAAAATCTACTCTCTCGTCGAACAACAACTTAAACTTGATACAATCAAAGAACGTACATCTTTTGACGTCCCGAACCGCTACAACGAAACACCCTTATTTCTTGCAGTCCAACAAAATCTGAAAGAAGTGAGATTCCAAAAGTCATGTTCTCGATGCAATTGTTCGTGTGTTGAGATCCGTATTTATAGGTGGTTGCATACCTGCTTGAAGTTGGAGCGGATCCAAATGTGCAGTCATTGCGTACTGAAAGAGAGGGAGCTTTACATTATGCAGCCGCCAGAGGGATGCACGATATCGTCGAGGCTAGCACATCAATTGGAAAAAAAAGTTTTCGGACGAAGCCATTTTCATTTTTAGATCCTTTGTGCTGGTCAGAAACTCCGCATCAACGAGTTAAATGGTCGTGGACTTACCGCTTTGCACTGTGCCATTATCAATCACGGTGTCATCAGTGAACATTCGATGAATGTCATTGACAGTCGTAGTATAATTATCACGCTTTTGAAAGCTGGAGCCGATCCCACACTAACGGTACGTCCAGGTTTGCAAATTCTCAGCAGAAATTTTTGCTTTGTAAAGTCTATTTGCTTACCCCATTATATATAGCTCATCATGTGTGATTGTATTGTAGGATATAATCTGTTGGTTTGTCGGTGTCTGTTTGTACATATTTGTTTGCGTATGTGTGTGAGCTTGGGTGTGCTGGTGCATGTGTCTGTATGTGTATCGGTGTGTGAGTTTGGCCGTAAGCTCATAAGTCCTGTTCCCGTGGTCTGGAGTGTCCAAACTTGCTAAAGGTATGAGCGACTGGACGGGAACACGAACGGCAGACGGTCAGACTGGACCCCGTCTACGGGGTCAGCACATGCACGAAGTGATCCTGCCTCTGTAAAAATGAGCAGCCAAGTTAAAATAAATAAAGCAGCAAGCTACTTTATAGTTAGACTTCGTGTTAATTGAGTGTCACTTTTTATAGCAACGAAGAGGCGAATATGTAGCGAGGGCCTAAATTGGTGTGCCATTAAGTCCGCCAATCTTTTAAGAACACCACTGGCGCCGCTTTAAGTAGCTTAGCTTTTCAGATCACATAAGTTTGACAACACTGTATATCATACAAGGAAGACAGTTTCGTAGTTTTGCTTCTAGAGACTTTTTCCTTGATTGGGACGCATCTTTAGAATGAACACTCCGTAACGATATGCATCACATCGCTAATGGCGACTGCTATATACGCTTTCATTGTGACGTGACACTCATAACTGACTCCATCAGAGGATTACACGTCATACCTATGAATACGTCGCACTATTGACTGCTTCTTCAATGCACGGCTGATCGGGTTGCTCGGTTCAACACAGTGGTATGACACAGGGGGAGAAGGCTCAGTACTTTCTTACCACAATCGTTTGGCAAATTTGGAACGCAGGTTTAGACCACGTTCGTTCGGAAGAACCTATGACGGTATATATCTCATCTTGAATGGCTATTGCGCCCAAGTATCCTTGGAAGTTGTAGTTAACACAGTACTCATGACTCGAATTCGTTTACTCCTTCAGAACTTCATAGCGCACAGAAATTGTGAGATGGGTATTTTGCTAACGTGATATCGGTAAAGGTCTTAAGGCAAAATAATTTCAATATGTATAGCAGGCATTCATAACGCAGCTCATTTTGACCACAGGGCCTCATTACGCATTCTCGTGATAGCAAAAAATAGTTACGAAATTCTTCCAACCTGTAGTGACCGAGCATTATAGTATAACCTACTTTAGCTGTATGGTAATCTTATTTTCGGAGAACTGGTGCATCTGAGACTACTAAAAGTATGTTACTCACAGGCCTCACAGGCTTTAATGAAGACGTACCCCCGCTGACACTGGTCGGTTGGTACTACTATTAGTTGGGTGGTTTCGAAGAATCCACAAAGTTACGGTGAGTGGTTCTCCTTTCGACCATCTGCGTGCCCTGGGGGTCTCGAACTTAGTGGGTTGGTGGAGACGTTTGGTCGGATAATCACAGATTGTTATGATCCTTTCAGGCTCTGAAGAAGGCGATTCCGCCGAAACGTCAGCCTAATAAAGGTTATTTAAAAACCTCGTGAAGAGTTCAAGACAACACAAACTCAGAAATGTTACTTTTTGTTCTGGCAGAGGCCAGAACCCGCGGTCACCGGGGGGCGCCGCGATTCATGCGTGACCCCATTAGAGCTCTTCGCGCACACAGCATCGTTTCAGTACCTTTCTGTTGAGATGGACCAAATAAATTTGCAGTACTGCGCGGCTTCACCATGAATTAGTGCAAATCTCTTTACTATGGCAAAAAAGCCCCTTCGAGATTGAGAAATCACCTCATAGGACAACAATTTACTTGTCAAACCTTCAAAATAAGAAAAAATTCAAATTTTCTGATTCTAGCAACCGCAATCCTTCTGTAAACGTCTATAGTTGGTCATTTCTTTACTTATTCTACTTATAAGTTCTTATTCATTCCATTATGATGGTAGGCATGAAGTTTTAGCGCTTTTTGCTCGATGACCTCATCATATTGGCGCGTGAATAGCACCACACCCCGCGGTCACCTCCTCTCCTCAGGGGCGGAGCCTAAGTAAGCGTTTTCGTCAAAAACTGTTGTGCTGAAGTGGAAAATTTTGTGAGAATGGTTGTAAATTTTCAATTGTTTTCAAAAGAGAATTTTGGGACTGGCAAGGCATTTCGACTTTCTCGCAGAAATGAAAGAATCCTGTGTGCACGCATACTAGGAAATGAAACTCTTCATTCTGAGGGTAAATTCCAGGATCCAAAAAGTGGGAGAACTGTCGTGCACTTCGCTATTGAAACTATGGACCCACGCATTGTCGAGGTAAGCAGTCGAGGTATTTTTTCTTTCACCACGTTCCTGTACACGTACTGATGTGAGTCTTATAAAGGTGTTGAAAAATAATGTCGAAGAAGATGCGTGGACAGACCTTGTCAATTTGGCAGACTTCAATCAAGAGAGACCAATGGATATACTTAAGACTGATAGATTTCTATCACATCATGATTCGGCAAGGTAAGTACCAACCGCGAATCAGATGTTCTGCAGAAACGAAGAAGAAATTCTCTTTCATCACTGTACTGTGGTTCAGATCAGAAATATTCATGACACTGCTGATGAGTGGAGCCAAAATTGAGACGACGTAATGGAGGATGCGCAGAGTTAGTCCAAGCTGTGTCGCTGTCAGCAACACATCTGCTGCAAAACCCGATCTCAACCTTGTCAGCAATTTTCAATTACCACCTGTTCCACATAAATTTACACGCACTTCGCCATTCAAAGTCGGAAGGGTAGATTGTAAAAATTCGTTATCTTAAACCCGCGACATTTTCGGTCACAATGTATCACGTTGTCTCCTCGTTTTCCGATAAGGGTTGTTATTTTATAAAGTAACCAGGACCCACACGCACGCAGTGAGATACTTTGTATAGCTCATCCAAGCGCCCCACTCTTCTTCATTTTTCTGGTCTCATTCTCGTCCAGCCCCCCTTTTAACGGTTTTTCGAAGCCTTTTCTCACTTCGGAAACACCGAATCACGCAGTTTCTTCACCTTCATCGCTCTATTTTCGATCTTGTCATCCGTTTTTCATCATAATCTGGATTACCCAAATTATCCTAACCTCTCTTCTCCCTCAGTTGGCTGTGGACGGATAGATGAATCTCCCGGTGCATAAGAATTAGGTGATATTCCCTAATTTGAACGATCTGGTGCCGTTTTGTGGATATTGATTTCTTGACACTAATAGGTGAACTCCATTCTTACCATCTATAGTTCCTAAGGGCTGATTTTCCTGCGTCCTGGGAGGCGAGTTGTGATTTTCAGTCTGTGACGTCGTAAACAGTTATGACACGACCTTCCATGTCACCGCACTCACGTGACCTCCACGCTCTTGAACTTCCTACGTGACTTTTGGGAGTACACACAAACGGGCATAAAAACGGACACACACAGTTAGCGCTTTATAATATAGAGCATTGGTGTAGTTCACTTGAAATACCAAGGGGGTCTCGCGACTGATATACCTGGCTTGGTAACGAAGATAATTTTATGAAAGTTTCCACCAAATTGCAATGCTCCAGGGAACGCGCAAGGGTCATTTTTTCGAGAAGGCTTGTGGTAGTAGTGTTTCAGAACAGTACATACAGACGAAATACTACGGTGTGTTGTGCGTGTTATGGTTTTCGAACCTTCCACACCATGTTCATGAGGCCGCGTTCCCATTCTATTGACGCTCCTCCGTAGCATTCTCGAAATGAGACGTGATATTATTCCGATAGGTCTACCGCTCGGTTGGTATCGTCTCCTTGCTTCTATAAGCATAAGAGGAGGAGGCATTCGATGAATGGTTTCAATTGGGATCCCATCACTATCATTCCATATTAAAGACACTACAAACACTCACAAAATGGCTTCTAGTAGCAAGACTGCCTAGCCGGCTTACTGCCACCTACCTATCTACTACTCGCTATAAGCTCGACCAGAAGAAACTGTGTCACAAATTTGTCTGCTGTATTTATTAAGCTTTTTGAGTTTAGATCAGAGAACTCGAACTTGCGTCTAATTTTTATCAGACCTTGTTCAGAGACTTTGTTTACTTGTTTTAATTCCATTGTGAAGTCCATCATTATGATTCGAATAATACACGGTGAGGAGTATGTTAAAATGTTGTGCTGATAAAAATTTACCTCGACTATCTGTGCATTTCTTGTGTGCAACTGCTTTTCACTCGAGTAAAAACGATTACAGATCTGCGTATTTAAGATTGCATTTGAGCTTCAGCATAGTTTGCTGGCTTCTGCCTCCACCTCCATTCATCAGCTGTAATAGTTATTCTCGAACTTCTGACTACAGAATGATGATTGACACTAAAGTAGTAAGGAATTTTAAACGACCTCTGGAAATGTAGGCCGTTTTGTGTTTGATACGTCACTGCACGTCAACTGTACCACCTGTCGTCCTGTTGATCATCAATTTCCTCGAGCGGGCCCCAGTAACGTCTTCAGTGTTCCAATGAATCGTCTTCGCTCAAGGAACACGGGGCAAGGCATTCCCTTCGTTCAGAGCATCCGTGAAGAAGTTTGACAATCGCGCCGCCGTGTTCCTGGTGTTCGTTTGACTTCTTGAGGGATCCATACAGTAACCCCCCTGCTCCAACGATAATCACAAAATCACATACCTGTCCGGCCCTTATCTTCGATTTCTTGGCGTAATTAACGGCAGCCTTGATCTTCGTTAGACGACAAAGCTCGGAACTCTGGATCTTGCGTTTATAGGGAAAATCCGAGCATGGCCCTTTCCAAAGCGCCAAGTAACAGCAGTCTCATCCTGCTTTCGTAGAGTCCAAGTCTCCGAGGCGTACGTCAAAGCAGGAAGGACAGCAGTGTCGAAAAGATATGCGCGAAGCCGGATGTTCTTCGTCTTATTTAATACTCCCTCGATATCCTATCGTTCTGTCATGTCTGTCACGAAATTCTTTAGCTGCTTTAGATCTGCCTGGAGAGACCGGGTCAAGCGTGTCAAATGGCAGAAATCTCTGATGGCTTTTATTATACAGTTGGGCGTGCAACCGCTTATCTACAGTTTTACTCGAATAAAACCTGGAATCATGCACCACGTCTCGGTGCTAAACTTGAACACACCTGACAAAAGGCAAAACAGGAAGAAAAACGCGAAATTCATTCAAGCATATTCACAAGTTTCAATTATAACATGAACAACAATGATTATTACGGCAGCAATAATAACAGTGATAATAACAAGAACAGAAGCATTGCACTGAATCGATAAATATTCTGATAACTCGAGAACTCATCTAAACTGTTACTAACGCTCAGAGCCAAAAAATCAAAAATAATACTCGATATGAAAACGTCAATCTATAAAAGAGATCAACGAAATGATTTACGAAATGAGATCAAAAAATATTCACAATGATTCAATCCATATGATTATTCATCACGCATGTGAGAAATGTAATGGAATGACAAATTCAACTTCACTTACAGACCATGGCAATTGAGAAACGATCGCATGTAAAATGATAAGTAACAACCAATAACCTACCGAGAGTGTTTCTTTTTCTTTTTGAAAGGTTCAATTTGACGAGTATGAGAAGATCGTAAGCCAAATTGTGGAAGCATACCATCGGAGAAGTGAGCAACTACGACTTCTGAAAAAAATGTTCGAAGTCGGTGAAAATTTGGCAAGTCAAGGCCGGTGTTCATTAAAACGTTAACAACTGAAAGGTTAAATAAAGGATGTGAATGATGGAAGAGAAGGATTACAAGGAGAACGAAGTGGAGTTTGAGAGTTTGAGGTGTCGTAGAGGTGTAGGTCAAGAAAATCTTTACTAGAGGTGAGAAGATTAGAGAAAAGTTAAATTACTTTGATGGCAAACCAAACGGCAATAACCGCTCAGTTTTGTTCATAAATCGCCAACCTTGTGAGACTTTCGGAACGCGTACTGCGGCGACTGCGGCGATTTAACAGCAGTTAACAAAACATCAAGTCATAGTTGTTACATTACACAAGTAGCCCATCAAAGGGTTCAGTCATGAGGGGGATAGATTACACATTCCCTTAATAGCCCTAACCAAATGACTAGTCCGGCTTCTTAATTCCGCTTACAAAAACCGCTGTTTTGGTACTTTGGTTGATATGCGTTTAGAAAATTATTCACCATGAATGTAATTTTTCAGAACTGAGCTAAACAGCAAAACTTACCTCTTTATTCACAAATCGTTTTCGAGGCTTTGCATCGAAATTGCTTATCCCAGAATGGGAAAACCAATGGTCGGGAAGAACTGTGTTTACGTCGGTACCCAAAGGAAGCACAGTATTGATGAGCTCAGGAAGCCCTTTTTGAGTATTTCATGTGTTTAATTGAAAACGCTTTCTCGTCACTTTTTCTCCAGTCCCTCTTGCTCACATGCCAGGCTATTTAGAACATTCCCATTCCTATCTCTGGCCTAATGGAATCTTCAAAGACACAGGTCGCGATTAGTTTTTTCTTTAGATTTGGTGAGGGTAAGAAACCTTGGCCTAGGAAGAACCGAATTTTTGACATTTCCAAAAGCAAGTGAAGAAATCTCTCGCTAACACATGGCTGATGATAGTTTTACCTTCACCATGCTCTCGAGACCCGTTTTCGCCGTTGGATCAGGGCGGTTACTGACTGGATCCCTCGGGACATCAAACGAACTNAAGGAATGTTGATCCTCGTGTCCCTGGAGCGATTCATTGGACCACTCTGGCTCGTAACAGGGACGAACGGAGACGTTACTGGCGCCCGCTCGAGGAAATCGACGATCAACGGGACGACAGGTACAGGTGATGCTCTCGAGAAATTAAGGTTGATTGAGCCCAAAGTACATTTTGTGGTAGTTGCGATTGAAATTCAATAGGGACCACAAACACTCCTCTTGTGTTAAATGGTTGTGTCCTTTCCTTCCTCAGCTAATGTTTTAATTCGATTCACTCAAAGGATGCCTTACGGGCGCAAACCTACTAATTTTATTAAGAAAACCGCCGCCTCGCACAATACTGGAAATGAACCAGTACAAGAGGAGCGTAATTTTTCGGCTCTGCTTCAAATTCTTTATTTGCATGGCCGCAGCAATCATAATCGTTGCCTCTTTTCTCGGAACCAATGACTAAGTCGTCAGGCGTGACCTGCGTCTTTGAAAAAACTTCCATATCAACCAGATCTATCAACAAGATGATTCTACACTTGAACGATTTCCGAAAACTTACCAGGGAAGCATTGAACGTACAGACGTTGTAGCTCCTTCAAATCATCCTCAGTTCTAAACAAAGAGCTAAAATCTGCAAGAAATTTGTGTGAGTAAATCTTTTGTAGGCTCACTCGCACGAGATGGCTCCCATGAATGGTTTATCGGAGTGTTTACTCACGTGGTGATGATGTACCTGAAAAATTACAAATCAGATAATAAGAAAGCCAACTTTAAACACCATCTCCTTGCCATTTGCCCAAGGAACAGAAAGTTCAGCTGTGAGATGAGCACAACTGTACAAATAAAACCTTTTCATTTTTTTCGATTTCTTCCTTTAATTGAATACGCTAAATGCAAAGAAGGAATAGCGCAATTTGGCGCCGTTACCGTAAAAATATTATGATAACAGTTCCAGATTGGTACATGCAGCTGTTCGAGCCTCACTGTCAAGGTGCCGGCTTAACACCCGATCTGCTTTCATTCGCCATTGTAAATGTAATCAAAAGCCGTATACTAAATGCCCAACAGGATTAATTAACGCTTGCAGAAACAACAAGGCCGATATCAGCTGAGCGGCTGTACAACTATGGGTTCAAGTGTCGTCCGGTAAGGAGCGTTCTATCCATAATTCATAATAATGAGGTATTCACATAAAAAATAGTGAAGAAAAGCAGCCATTCTGTTTTTCATTATTATAAAGGAATTATTAGAGACATCAAGAGCCTCGAAATCCGAACACTAACGTATAAAGTACAGAACAAATTTCATCTAATGCAAACCATTCCATCTCAGCGTAGACAGAAATGGCAGGTAGATATCCTGCAGAATTTGATTTAAAGAAATTTTAACAGATAGAACCAATTCTGTACCGTAGCACTGAAAAGTTTGTGAAACCAAAACTAAACACAAATCAACATGTACCGAGATTCATTTAACAGGAGAAACGTGCAATATTCTCCTCCTGTAAATAAGACGTATACTCACCTTTCTCAAAGCCACCGCTTTGTAATCACATAATTTGCACTTTTTGACATTCCTTTTCCAATGTGTTCGCACGTGATCGACTAAATGATTTCTACCCATCCGTGGGTGCCACTTTAGATTACGTCCACAACCCTGTACTTGATTAATCAGTGCAATCCAAGGCATAACACTTCGATAAAAGCAGACCAGCATACGGCATTTAAAGATGGTGGAAAGTTCTCCAGCCTTGAGCAGAGACTTCAGGTTGCTGTCGTTTCTCGCCGAAGTGAACTGAAAAATCCCTCTACAGTTTCCCTTGGTCAACAAATCGATCTCCTTACAAAGACACTTATATCTCTGTATATCTCCATCTTTTTGATTGTTCGGAAGGTATCTGCCAAAAGCTTCACAAGAGTTTACACTCTGCTGCGAATTTCTGTAATCTTCCAAAGAAACACATCTCTCCTATTGAGCACCTTTTCAAATGCGGTCTTTCAATTCAAGATGCTACGTTGAGGATGTTGCATTTGTTCGTTTGTCAGCTACTTCTAATCGAACTTCACATAAAGCTGGAGAAAACACCTAGCTCCGGCTGCCGGCAGCCCACCCTTCCAGCTATGAATGCGCCAGCTGCATGTTAAGCATCCTACTTGCTATAAGATAGAGCGCTCCGTCTGTCGTCTGTCGTAATGTATGTTTGTAACGAAATCCTTTGCTCTTTTAGAACTGCCTGGAGAGACCGGGTCAAGCGTGAGATGGGTGGGCCATGTCCCGAGAAGTATAAAACACGCATCAGCTTGGCGAAGCCCCACCCATAGTCGGCGTGGCGTGTATCAAAATAAGCTGTACTGAGGGCTCACGTTGTTCGAGTGGAAAATCATAACTCCTGTCGCCATGGACCTAGAATGTTCAAAATTGGAAGGAGTACAGGCGACAGGATGGGAACACTTATGGTGGGTAGCAGAACCGGGCTCCACCCACAACGAGCGAGGTCTGAGCAGAGACTCATCACACCTGTCCCCGGGGACCTAGAAAATCCAAACTTACTAGGACTACAGGCGACAGGATGGGAAGGCCTAAGTTAGGTGACACGACCGGAAAAAAATGCTTAAGTGATATGCTACGAAGACATAATCTATTAGAGCTCTGTTTCAGTTTCGTACTCTCACTCAGTCAAACAACGGATATAAACTCAAAGAAGGGGAAAGAATTTCTCCAATTCAACATTTCTCGGGATAGTGTGTTTGCCACAAGAAGGAGGAGAGCTCGGCGTTAGTCGGCGAACTGACTGGTAATAAAAATATGAAACAAAATCAGAAGCTGGCAAAGCACAAAAAAGACTTACGTTCCCGTTTTCCTCAAGTTTACAAATGGATTTCTGCGAATCCTCCAACCCTTGTTGATTACGACTTCTGCAGGGACTATCATTTCTTTTTTCTGAACTCCGAGTGGTCTTGTCTAGATACAGGTCAGATTGAGAGAAATCATCAGAAATCGCCTCTATAAGGTAATCCTCGCTAGGAACAGTGAAGATCCAATTACTGTGACCTCCCTCCGCCACATCATCCCTATCATCAGAAGCGAGAGAAGCACGCGTTGGTGGTTCAATACAGGTTTTAGGACTTTCTCTCCCAGTTGTGTGAGAATTCCCTCCAGTTTTCTTTATTGCAAGACTTCCATCGAGCTCAGTTGCACAAGGCCATCCAGATCCAATGCCCTCCAAACCATCACGGATTTCGCCGCAATCTGAGAGAATATCTTCGATGCAATTGTCGTCAAGAGGTTTTGCAGGTGCTTCGAACAGAGGTTGTCCAGCAGCTTCAACCGCTGACGTTAATTTCGACATTGCTACTTCGGCGAAAGTCCGACGGTTTTTTACACTTCCACGATAGTCCGCCCTCAAATTTGTACCGTTAACTCGATCATCTGAATAGTCTTAGCTAAGTGAAGAAGAGAGAAAATCTCATCAATTTAGTCTTCTATACTTACGCAGCGCATCTGAATTTGGCCTTTCAGCACCGATAGAATGAGCGTTAAGACAAACATTGGGCTCCGGAGATGGGCAACTCTTCTCTATTCGGCGGGGCTTTTCTTTACTGCGAAGATCGGAAGGGACAACTTTGCTATGAATCTGGAACAAATTCGGACTGCACCTCTATTGCTTCCACTTAACCATAAACTAAAACCAACAGTCCTACATCATCTGAAGTTTCTAACGTCCCAGGAGGCAGTATGTCGTGTCCTGGCGACGCCGCAGTTTGATCTTCGAGATGTACAGAGCATCTCTTTTCAGTAGGAAGCAATATAGGAACATCCATAACGATACAACGGCATCCAATGTCCTTCTGAAGAGAGGGAGATTAGTAGAAGAATGCGGAACAAATCAAATCTTAACAAATCACAAGAATGTGCTTCAAATCAACTCCGCGATTTCGAAGTTCCTCAAGGTTTGTGTTGTAGATATTAATTTGTACATAGGAAGACGAATGCGACCAGTTGGCGACAGTTGGCGAAAGCGTTCTACCTCTCATTTGAGGAATTGTTCTGGAACTAAAATTATAACTCTTTATTATCATTTTATATGTATACATATTCATTAGCTACATAAGCACTACATTTGCTAACCACAAACGAATGAAAATCCTTCCGACCCACTGAAAAGAGAGCACTCTTTTTATGCGCACAAAACTAAAGTGAATATACACGGAAAACGAAACCAGTGATGAAACGGTTCTATTCATGCTCAAATGTTGATAAAAGTCCTTAACTGCTCGTATTTTTTTCATTTGTTTTCTTCAGAAAGAGTGCCTAGGAATAGACCTAAAAGATTTAACGTTCTCAAGAGGGCGACAGTGAGAAAAAGCATATCAAATGAAAATAAAGCAATTATGATAGTATTTTTCAAAATAAGTTCTTCTCCAGCAACCCTTCTATATTTTTGTAGCAAATCTGAAGAATAGGGTTTCCCCCATTCTCCCTTGTTCTACTTGGCAGCTAGGGAAAGACTGGCATCTCACGGTGTTATGCGTCATTTTCTGGCTAATGTTATTGTATTTTCTCGGTACTGAACAAGAAAGATTCAAAGTGCTGAAATACGGAATGGTCCGACCAAACATAACCAATCGTAGCTAGCTGATCGAACGAAGATTTATCTGTAGTCAATAATTCAGCAGTAACAAAAACTGACGAACCCCAACGAGATAAATAACAACAGAGTATATAGAGGATGAAATGGAAATAAATCAATGAAAGCTCTAGAAATAATATGCAATGATATATATATATATATATATATATATATATATATATATATATACTGGAACTTTTGAAAAGAAGTATCCAACAATTTGATTCTACAGGTAAGTGTTTTGCACACCATATACAGCAAATTCATGCAGCAGCCTTTATCCAATTCTGTGAAGTCGGTTTCCATAAAAGCGAGAACACTTTCGGCGAGCATTTCTGAACAGTACATATCATAAATGTTTAGCACGCTCTATTAGCTAGATTACCGAAAATAAAACGATTAAGTTGAAATTGAATTAAAATGATCGGGTTTATTCTGAAAAATGTTCTTCTTTCTTTAGGTAAATATCTTGTTTAGCTGAAAACTACACCCAACTACTTATCAAGCCAGATGGAGTACGGTAATGTTTGTTGAAAGCAACTAGAAGTGCTGGAAGCAAACTGCAGACTGCCTCTAAAAGAGGCCAAACTCTAATATTCTCGAGTTTTGACGCATTTGATTGCAAATATAGCGTTGTGAATCAAAAAGGCACTAAAACAACAACATAAGAATTTCACAACAGTTATTATGTCATTATAAACCCTCTAATTCATTTCTTAGAAAGACGTTACAATTATAGCTCAACCAAACAGCCAAGCAAATAAAAAATATTGCCTGGCTTACCTGAAAGCAAAAAAAAGTAAGTTTGTTGCATTAAATCTGTACCTGATTTTTTCAAAAACTCCAACTCTTGTAACTTAAATCGAGTAAAAATATGCTTTACCAATACGATGAGCCACGAGAACTAACCATAAATGTGTACACTGTAAACTGATCACTTGCTGAAGGGTAACTTCGATTTTGTAGAACTGGCGCCCATGTGTAGATTCAAGGAGTCCAACACAGTGGTACATTTGAGCACAGGGTAATTATTCGATTTTATCTTCATTAGATTTCAGTAACCACTGAAATTTCTCGATGCTCAGTGAGAATAACAACTAACAAAGGTAAAATGGAGTGGCCGCATTCATACTAGGTGCCGTATACGGCAGTTGAGTGCCGTACACGGCACTCGAGTGCCGTCCATTTTTAAATGATTTCGATTACATTACATTAACATTAATAACCCATCCGGTAAG